GTAAAAAACATGCCATTTTTCAACATCAAAATTCTCCACTATTTTTATTGGAACACCCTGTATGTTGCAACGCCAAAATTAAGAGTCGTGATCAAGGTATTCATTTGCCAATAAACGTCGGCCCTTTTTGAACCTAGAAAAATGCATTTATTTTTGGGTCAGATTTCTATCCAATTTTTTTGGGTTAAAACTTCAAGTTCCATGCCCGATGTTTATTGGTACATCAATACCTTGTACACGACTCTTAATTTTGGCGTTGCAACATACATGGTGTTTCAATAAAGATAGTGGAGAATTTCTATGTTGAAAAACGGCATTTTTTTACTCGCCCTGTATAAGTGTGAAAAAAATTTGCAACTAACTGAAAAAAACTTTAGGCCAAGAGAAATCGAATGGTGCAAATCGCAGGTAGCTAGAACACCTGGTTTAGAAGTTATAAGCACTTACAATCGGTCACTTTCTATTGGGACACCCTGTATAGTATTTTTAATACCTATTTAGAAGTACCAGTCGTTCTAGTGACAAAACGTATGTCGTTTCTTGACACACAAATAAAATTAGGTTAAGAATTTCCTATTTGTACAGGATGGCCCATTTTCGATGTTTTAATAGGCTATATCGAAAACCAGCAGAGATATCAAAAATCTGGGAGCACATTCTCGAGCTCTTTTTTTGAGAAAATAACAATGGCGAAGTCAAATCACGGCTAACTTGATGCGTTTAGGAAATACAGGGCACTTTTCAAATTTTGTCCAATTTTAAAAGACTCTCTAATTTCCTTATTATTCAAGATATCCGAAAACGGAAAATACTTTCTATAGGTAGTTTTTCAAGGAAATTTTAGTGGTATGACCAATTATTCTCCAGATGACCAAAGTTGTGTTTTTTTAAATGGGACACCCTGTATATTATTTTTTCATTGAATAGCTCTTTGTGAGCTGATTTCGAAGATATAAGGTTTTATACCTTTACCTTCAATAGTTTTGGAGAAAACAAAAATAAATTCCGATTTTTACATAAGAAACAATGAGTTAGAAAGAGATAGTTGAACTATGAATCGGCTACAAATTTCTTAATTCTTAATTTAATTTTTCAGTTCAGCTATTTTTTTTTAATTTGAACTATGAATCGGGGGTGATAAAGGCAACACATAATTTATTTAATGACTTATCTTTCTCTAGCTCATTGTTTCTTATGGAAAAACGGAATTAATTTTTTTTCTCCAAAACTATAGAAGGTAAAAGTATAAAACCTCATATCATTGAAATCAGCTCACAAAGATCTATTCAATGAAAAAATAATATACGGGGTGTCCCATTTAAAAAAACACAACTTTGGTCAATATTCCAAAATCGGAGGCACCTGGGGAAAAATTGGCTATGCCACTGAATTCTCTTTAAAAAACTGCCTATAGAAAGTATTTTTCGTTTTTGGATATCTTGAATAGTAAGGAGATTAGAGAGTCTTTTAAAAATGGACAAAATTTGAAAAGTGCCCTGTATTTCCTAAACGCATCAAGTTAGCCGTGATTTGTCTTCGCCATTGTTATTTTCTCAAAAAAAGAGCCCGACAATGTGCTCCCAGATTTTTGATATCTCTGCTAGTTTTCGATATACCTAGCCTATTAAAACATCGAAAATGGGCTTCACAATTTTGGTTATTTACATGGTGATTATACTTTACATTCTGTATTTCCAATATATCAGCAGCATACTTGCAATTTGATCATATTAAGACGCGAGATTAACATTCATTTATTTTATAATTTTCACTGTATGAATGTCTGTCTGTCTGTCTGTATGAATGTCTGTCCGAACATTCTTCTCGGATTTACATTTATCGCGGCAACATGACCAAACTTGTAACATTTATAACATTAAATTACATTGATGTGATCTTTTGAATCAGTTTGTATGTATTGGGATCAACCTCAAGTATCACGCTTTCCTTCCCCTGTTTTCCCTTGTACTGCTTATAATTTGAACTTTTCTTCTGGACTCCTCATTTGTTATGGCATTCTGCAACATCAATCTTTCTATAATTTCGTTTTTATCAATTATTGTGTTTTCCTCTAAATTTACAATTTTAATTTTTCTAAACTTTCTTCAGGTATCGACACCTCATCCTCTGCTCCAAACTGACCTCAATACTTTGTGATACGCTGATCGATCTTCCTGCTTTTCACAACTTATTCCAACTCCCCCCATCCCTGATGAACGCTGCTTTAATTTTTCCTGGATCAATATTTTCTTCAATAAACTGCTTTGTAGCTGCACTATCTTGAACTGTTTTTGGTCTTATCACCAGTACCCCAGACATTTTCTATATGATCTTTTTAGAAGTGAAATTTGTTCTTCTAGAATTTTTATTAGACGTTCCCCAAATTCTATTATACTTTCCTTTGCCTCAAATATGGTGTTCTTTGCCTCAATTATTATGGTTTGAATTCACTAACTTTTCTGACAATATGAATTATGAATGGGTTCTGGCTTGTACAATTTTTACAATAGAATTCTATAACTCGACTAGTTAATTCCATCGCCCTCACCTCCGAAGACGTTAGCCGTTGCTTACAGTTTAGCAAATCACATGTATCACACTTAAACACAGCTTTGCACGTAAAGTCTTTTTTGCATACATCACATTCCATATTCGCAGGATACCCCAGAAGTAAAAATAATCAAGTACTCGGCCTCTTTAATTTGGACAGCGCATCCACCAGCCTGCCTTTATACGGTGGCTTATTTTTGTTGAATCAAATTACAATGGGTAGAATAATTGTTTTCTATTACCGGCTGACCGGCTCTCGTGAATGATCATTCGAATTTTGTAATTTTTATTTGAATGAAAACTAAAAAAGTAGGTACAATAAATTTTAACAATTCCCAAAACAATTTCATTTACTTCCGGCCCACGGGAGGAAAGTAAACTTTCGACCCGTGGGTGGAAAGTAAAAGTTAAAAAAGTGACATTTTCAAACTTTTTATAAGTCAGAAAAGTCAACATTACATGAGATTTTCTACATTAAGAGCCCGGGATAATAACATATAACCCCGTACCTCTACACAGTGGTTTTTGATTACCAGATTTCGTGAAAGGTTTCCTACAAGAGCCGAGAATAATAAAATATTGATCACTCTGTATTTGTATACAGTGGCTTATTTTTGTTGAATCAAATTACAGTGGATAAAATTGTTTTCCATTACCGGCTTTCGTGAAAGATTTTCTACGTTAAAAACTAGAGATGTTGAAATATTGAACATCCTGTATCTTTATACAGTGCTAGAATTAGTGGTAGGCGCCAAAATTTGGATTGGCCTTGGGCGCCGAGGGTTCTAGTTGCGGCCCTGCTATGGTCTAAGCGTATAGCGAATAGCTCTACTGCAGACATTTGACCAAATATCGTCTCCACTAGCATGCATCTTTAACAGACGCATAGGGATGGTGTTTACCCCAGTGTACTGTTCCCATTTTTAAAAAGGTCAACAGGCTGATATATTGAGCAATTGACCTATCTCCCTAATACTGGCCTTTTCAAAGATCTTGGAAGCCATTCTCAAGCACCAGATATATGGAAACTTTGAGGCTGACGGCCTTCCTATTAAAGAGCGGAAGTTGAAGTCGTTGACGATTGGAGCAGTACTAGCGCTAGCCCTATGTGATTACATAGTATAGGGCTTTGAGGCAGGGCCGCAACTAAGGGTTGGCAAACTAGGTGCGAGCCTAGGGCGCCTTCTAACCACCAAATAAAATTAATATACAACCTAAAATGAGTTAAATTACAGTGGGTAGAATTATTTTCTATTACCGGCTCTCGTGAAAGATTTTCTTAATCAACGGCCAGGGATAATAAAATATTGATCACCCCGTATCCCTGTATCTATTACCGGCTCTCGTGGAAGATTTTCTACATCAAGAGCCGGGAGTAAAACAATATTGATCACCCCCTACCTCTACACAGTGGTGGAATTGTTTTCAATTACCAGCTTTCGTGGAAGATTTCCTACAAGAGCTGGGAATAATAAAATATGGATCACTCTGTATCTTCATACAGTGGCTTATTTTTGTTGAGTCAAATTACAGTTGGTAAAATTGTTTTCTATTACCGGCTCTCGTGAAAGATTTTCTACATCAAGAGCCATGGATAATAAAATATTGATCACCCCGTATCCCTACAGGGTGGTGGCATTGCAGCTTTCGTGGAAGATTTCCTACAAGAGCTGGGAATAATAAAGTATGGATCACTCTGTATCTTTAGACTGTGGCTTATTTTTGTTGAGTCCAAATGCAGTGGGTATAAAATTGATTTCTTTTACCGGCTCTCGTGAAAGATTTTCTACATTAAGAGTCGGGGATAATAAAATATTGATCACTCCGTATCTCTACACAATGGTGGAATTGTTTTCGATTGCCAGATTTCGTGGAAGATTTCCTATACAAGAGCTGGGAATAATAAAATATTGATCACTCTGTATCTTTATATAGTGGCTTATTTTTGTTGAGTCAAATTACAGTGGGTTAAATTGTTTTCTATTACCGGCTCTCGTGAAAGATTTTCTACATCAAGAGCCGGAAATAATAAAATATTGATCACCCCGTATCCCTACAGAGTGGTGGAGTCGCAGCTTTCGTGGAAGATTTCCTACAAGAGCTGGGAATAATAAATTATGGATCAGTCTGTATCTTTATACAGTGGTTTATTTTTGTTGAGTCAAATTACAGTTGGTAAAATTGTTTTCTATTATTGGCTCTCGTGAAAGATTTTCTACATAAGAGCTGGGAATAATAAAATATTGATCAGTCTGTATCTTCATACAGTGGCTTATTTCTGTTGAGTCACATTACAGTGGGTGAAATTGTTTTCTATTACCGGCTCTCGTGAAAGATTTTCTACATCAAGAGCCGGGAATAATAAAATATTGATCACTCCGTATTTTTACACAGTGCTACGCCGATGCAATTAACAATATAATTTATCATTTGAAATACCTTTTTCTTAGGTGGCATGCAAGATTACAATTATTTCAAACATGGTTGCATGGAGTTAACCCTAGAGATATCTTGTTGTAAATATCCTGGAGCTGACGAGTTGGAGAAACACTGGAACGACAATAGAGAAGTACAGGCCTTAAACAAACAAAAAAATCTCTTTAAAGTAACAATTTGATTTTAGGCCCTTCTAGCGTTTTGTCAACAAGCCCACAGAGGAATTTTCGGTCAAGTACTAGACTGGGACACTAGAGAACCAATAAGCAACGCCCAACTGCAAATTTCGGGCAGAAATATGAGTTTCAGGAGCTTTAATGGCACTGGTGAATATTGGAGATTACTACTTCCAGGCAATTACTCTGTAGAGGTAAATACCTACTACCTATATACGGATTAAAATATTTGAAAATTGTGATACTGATGTGCGTTCTAGGCTCATGCAGATGGGTACCATATGCAAAATATTTCATTTGAACTAACAATGGAAAATGCAAAATTGGAACTAGATATTTTGATGTTAAATTTATCAGTTCCTTTGGCAACTACAACTGATTCTGCAAGTAAAGAAGTTGATGCGCAAACAAGAACAAACTCTGAAAGTGGTAAGTAACCATATTTGTTTTAAAGTGAATAAATATTGAGGTCAGGAATATTATTTCAGATTCAGCTAAAATTGAAAGCATTTCTTGTGAATATCCAATACGGAATCCACGGAGTATAGAATGTGATGAATATTCTGAAGTTGGAGAAATTTTAAATAACTCAGCAAGAAGTGCCTTATTTAGTGTAGTGCTTCTGATCCTTGTAATTTTGCTTATTTTTCTTGACTGAATTGTTGTCTATGATTTTAGAATTTGCTGATGCAGAGGGACAAAATTAAAAACACTCTTCAATTAATTATTTTTACCAATTTAATTGTAATTTCAAATGCAGTAGGTATAACAAAAAAAAACTATTACATATGAATAAAAGTGATAAATATGATTAAGACAGGTAAATTATTTATTTCTTACTTCCTCATCAGCCTGTGGCAAAGTTTTATAATTATTCAACCGTTTGACTCTCAATTTTGACCAAACAATGTAATTGGACAAAGCGATACTTTGAGCTGCCGCCAATGCAGCGGTTTCAGGATAAACTACCGTGGAACAACCAAGACCACTTGGCACGTTTAAACTTGACCATATATCCCTGTCTACGTCGTCTTTAGTGACTGGTGGACAGTTAATAACAGGGAAATCTGAATTTCCAGAGATGACTGGGCCTAAACCGTTAGATCTTCCTGCTACAGCAATAAATACGATTTTAATGTTGAGCGATTCGTAGTGGCTGATAATTTTTAAAGTGCCCTCGGTGGTTTTGTGGGCTGAAGAAACGCGGATTTCTACGTTTAGGCCTAAATCTTCGCAGTATTGTCTGATTTTGTTGCAGTGGACGCTGTCACTTGGACTACCCATGATGATCACTACCAAATGGTCACTGAAAACATTCAAAATAAAATTTATATTTATTTAAAGGTATAAAAATGAAGGAGCTTACCTTGGTGGTAATAAATGGTCCAATTGGTCAGCAACCCATTCGAAATTCCTCTTGACAGTATCCAGGTCCTTATCGGTTACATTGGCGAGATTACGGTAAACTTGTTTGTCGACCATCAGTCTTTTGTCTCCAGATGGCCATAACCGCCAGCTATCTGAGTCTATGACATCGGCAACAACGATTTCTCCTATTCAAGAAAAAACGAAATATTTTTACACAAACTTGAGAGACAGAGATAGGTCATTGAATTCGCAACAAACAAAGCATTCAATGACATCTCTTTCAAACTTAATGTTCCTCAATATTATGCACGCATGATTAAAATCAGTTCAGAGAGTGAGAAATATGCAATAAAATAGAATATAAGAATTGCTTATGCGGTTGGATACTATTTGGAAAACTGCATATTGGAAGATTTTCTCATTTTTGGTTTTCTTAAATAACAAAGAAATTAAAGTCTTCTAAAATTGGAAGAAATTTGAAAATTGCTCTGTTTCGTAAACGCATGGAAATAGTCGGGATTGGGTCTTCGCCATTGATATTTTCCAAAAAAAAAAGCTAGAGGATGAGCTCACAGGTTTTCAATACTTCTGCTGGTTTCCGAGTTTCCCATATATATTTCATTTCTAGCTTTGATAGTTAATTAAAAGAACCTCAAAATAAAATAGGTATTATAAGTATATTGATTCATTTTGTTTACCAGAATCTCAAATAACCGACCACAAAGTTGAGTTTGACATAAATTTAAATGGCCTTGAAAATAACCGCAGATAGGAAGAGATTATTTTTTTTTATATTGAGGTCAACTATGTTTTATAAGTGCAATTCTTGAAAAACAAATTTATAAATCTATAGCTGCTGATTATTGTATTAAAAATAATAGGCTTATCATTGTTTCAACATCGCAGGGGGTCGATATATTAATACATTTTTATAAACGTCATACTCATAGGGGTCATCTAGATTATAAGTGTTACACCGCATTTTTAATTTGTTAAAGCTGACGAAATATTGTTATGGCAACTAAATTGAGAACAAAAATTGAACTTTCCAATTTTTTGAATTTACAGTGAAGTCTGGACATAGATATAATCAAAATTGGTTCACTATATCCAAGGTTTACTATAAACGATAAAAAATTACATCATTGGTCTTATGGGATTTTTTTTTGGAAATTTGGAAAAGCGTTCGTTGTAACCGAGTGTTCACTTTAAACAGGTTTGCTATATCCGAACTTCACTGTATTCTAGTCTGTGAAATTTACTCACTACATGCCGTAACTCCAAATTCTATTTTCATGTCAATCAGAGCACAGTTTCTTGTTTGCCACACTTTTTCCAATATTTCAAATACCAAAATCGATATTCTGGCCATGTAATCTACTTCCTTTTCACCTAAAAAAAAACAATAATATAAAAGCGAAACTCTCAAAACATAACCAACTCTTACCAATCAATTTTCCATTAAATTTAAACTGAGCACTAATAATTTGTTCTTCTGACCATTGAGGGTCGTGATTGGCGTCGTCTTTGAAAAAGGTCTCCTGTTTTACAGGCGCAAATCTGTAGCCCTCTGGAACTCCTGGATTTCTCTTTAGGAATGAACCAGTTGCTAGACGTCTGGTAACCCATTCGATGGGTACCATTTCGCATCTTTTCGAGACAAAAGATGTTTCCGAGGCGGCTTTAACAAAGGAGGTCGGGACACCAACTGAGTTTAATATTTCAAAAACTTTGCTGGCAGTTTTGTTAGAGACAACAGCTTTTCCTTTCAATTCGTGAGCTTTGACTCCATCGCCAGCAGTGATTCTGTCTTTGCTCAGCAATAGACATTGATCAGGATGTGATTGGATTTCGTAGACTTGTTTGGTTTTTCCTTCAATTATTAGTTTGCCCAGTTTATATTCTCCAACTAGAATTTTTAAAAAATATAATAAAAAAATAATTATGTGGTACCAAATTTTAGGAAAAAGCGCAAATAAAATAAGTAAAATTGATAAAGAAGACGGATTTTCTATATGAACAAATTTGTTAGATGACGGTGTAGGAAATCTCATCAAGTTATTGTCCCAGATTGGTGCTAGCCCATAGTATATTCGTGAAAAGTGAAATTTTAGTAAAGAGTAAACACTAAAAACCGTGTGAAAAGAAAAGGTCCTGTGTGTTGACCGGAAACAAAGTGGCAGAATCCAAAATTTATTTTACCGTAATCGACAAAATATCCGAATAGTGAGTCGTTTGAGATTTGGAAGTTTCTCATAAAAATTTTTTTTGAAGCTCCATGCCCAAAGGGGAATAATAAATGGTGGAATAAAATTTGAAGATCCAGCCAAAGCGGATAGAACGGCATATTATTGGAAATGAAAAGATCAAAGAGCGCCAAAAACCAATGTTGAAAAAAAAATATCCACCATACATATTAACCTGTGATACGGCTAATAATATATGAAACGCTGTACAAGGTATTTGAAAAAGATTCTTAACAACAGAAATGCAATTTATTAATCATATCTTATATTTTCAATTTCTTTTTTGAAATGATTCCTTATGCTTCATTGGGGTCTGGAGTCAATTATTTCACACCTTGAAGTATTATTCAGGGCCTGTCTCGTCCTAAATTATATACCCATGAAGTGGAGAAAAGTTAAAGTCACCTTTATGCCTAAACCTGGGAAGGACAACTACTCTCATCCAGAATCATACAGACCGATTAGTCTAACGTCATTCCTCATGAAAACCTTCGAAAGGCTAGGTGACAGACACAATAGGAATGTGCACTTGAAAAGCAATACACCCTAATCATTGATTAACACACCTACCAACCAGGAAAATCTACTGCATTGCACTGGGTCGTAGAAAATAGAAGAATCGGTATTCTACCAGCAGTCGGCCCTAGGAGCCTTCCTAGATATCGAGGGCGCTTTCAACAAAGCAATCTTCAACAGTGTATAAACGGTTCTGATAAGACACAACTTTAACCCAACCATTATCGACTGGATCAGATGCATGTTAAAGAACAGAGCTAAATACAAGAGGCGTGAAGGTAAGAGCGCTTGTCGGTAGAGACTGCCCAACATCCTGTTGCCACTACTTTGGAGTGGCGTAGTTGACGGCCTCATTGAAATCCTCAATGAACGTGGCTTCTATTCGACCGCCCATGCAGATGACATCACACTTTGCAAACCGAAAAATACGAAAACGTCCTGTGCGATTCTATGCAGACCGCTTTAAAACAGGTAGAAAATGGTGGTCAGAAAACTTACTGAATGTCAACCCAGCAAAACCTATCTACTGCTGTTTACCAAAAAGAGGCAGGTCAATTTAAGACCACCCTCTCTGGGCGGTGTGCAACTCGGCCTCTCAAAAGAGGTCAAATATTTGGGAATTACTCTGGATAGTGCCCTCAACTGGAAAGTGCACCGAGGTAAAAAAATCAAAAAGGCCATCAAGGCGTTCTAACAATGTAGGGGAGTCATAGGCAAAACTTGAAGGTTATCTCCCAGGATTTTTATGTGGCTTTTTACCGCCGTAATTCGATCTACGTTAACCTATGCAGCTATTGGATGGTGGACCAAAACCAAGCAAATAGTAGCTCGAAATAAAATGCAGCAGCTACAAACATTAGCATGCCTGGCAGTCACAGGGGCCATGAGGATCACACCAACAATGGCCTTGCAATTAAGTGTTGCTGGGACTGCCACCTCTAGGTGCATATCTAAGAGGCGAGGCAGAAAGAACGACAGCCAGACTGTACTCCATACTCCATTCCATTGGATTGTGGTGTAGAGGAAGCGGGAATCCAGGGCATGCCCGAGTTCAGGAAGCTGTCGAACGTCAACCACTGCTAGAACACCAGACGGACACAATGATCCCACGTTTCATCTTCAACAAGGTCTTTAAAGCGGCTCAACAGAACCAGGTATACGGACGGCTCAAAAAACCACTCCGGGACTGGGATAGGTGTGAATACCTGAACTCGACCTAGAAATAAGTCTAGTTTTCCAGGCAGAGCTGCTTGAAATGATGCAGGGAGCTATACAAATACAAGAAAGAAGGATTAAGGGAACAACCATCACCTTCCTCACAGATAGCAAGCAAGTATACTGCAATCCCTAAATAAGGTGAATCTAAATCAATCCTTGAATGCCACCAGACATTAGAGACGATTGCGCAAGGGAATACAGGCATAATGTCGTGGATTAAAAGCCATAGTCACAGTGGCAATCAAGGAATCGAAAGAGCAGATACTCTAGCACGCACTGGAGCAAAAGAGAAACGAATCGGCCCTAAGCCTTTTGTGCCGATGACTAGCAAAACTGCAAACCTAGAAGTCAAGAACACACCTACAGAATTCTTAGTGAGACATGGGCGAGACAGGACTTCAGGCACTCGAGTGCCGCTATCCGTGGCCCCCAGCCTAACCATACAGAATATATTCTGCAACTGTCTCGGAACCTCAGGAAACTAATAGGCTTACTTACAGGGCACTGTAAGTTAAATAAGCACCTTCACACTCTGTGATTGATAAACAACCCAACCTGCAAAAAGTGCCATAAGAACGACGAGACGGCAGAACACGTACTGTGTTATTGTCCAGTTCTCGTGAATACAAGAAAGTTTATTATGGGGGACCGGTGGCCATCAATTGCCAATTAGAGGGTACGCCGCTACCACACTATTCATCTAAATCAATACTATGTCGGCTGGCTTAACGAGTATCACTCTATACATGGGCCAAAGAGGCCTAAGTACAATAAGGCGACGCAAATCAGTCATCCAAATCTCTATCTATCTATATGAGTCTTAACATCAGCAAGTTGAAAAATATGCGATATCGGCTTAAAGCAATGAATCAAACAATAGATGATGAAATATTGATCTCAAAAATAATGACAATAACCCTGCCAGAATACTATAAACGTGTTGCCGTAAAGTGGAAGGCAAGAAAATTTTCACAAGCAGATGGGTATTTTTAAAAGATAATGGAAAATATAAGGCCAGGTTGGTAATTGGAGGAGGCCAAAACAAAGTGAAACAAATTTCACAGAAACATTTATACCAGTTCAATTCAAGTTTTGTTTTTATTAGCATTTTTGTATGGAAACACATTTACATGCCAATTCCTGACGAGTGCACAAAGACAATATAAACTTATGAACAAAGTGTGTGAATTGATAAAATCATTACATGAAATGGAAGAGTTGTTTGAAAGGAAACGGACTTATTGCCACAAAAAGTGATGTTGAAATTGAATGTTTAAACATCAGAGTAAGCTGCAGGTACCTACATGATTTATTCCTACCAGATCCAATAAGTAGGTAATGAGCGTATAAAAGACTCAAAGACCACTGCAACCGCATTTTCAAACCAATTTAATTCTGTCTACACAAGGGAAAATCTTACAAACATGCCAACACTGCCCATGGAAACTATATGAACAATCATCAACTGACTGACATTAACACATTAACATGAAAACCTATTCAAGTCCAGGCCCAGATGGAATATCATCTATATTTTTGAAGAAATGTGCAACATCTCTAGCACCACTATAAGCCCAATTATAACAAGATTCCATAGACAATGGAACCATACCAGAAATCTGTGGAAAAATCTGGAAAAAAACTGTATTGATACCGATTTACAAAAGTGGTGTCAAAAACGACCCATCCAATTATAGACCCATCAGCCTGACCTGCACAGTTTCCAAAGTACTCGAAAAAATCCTTGTAAAAAAACAGCATTCTTCTTCTTAGAAAATGACATCATACCTCCTACATAGCATGGCTTTATGCCAAAAAGGTCTAATACAACAAATCTTCTCAGCTATTTAGACGAATGGTTTACAAATCTAGACGAAGGCAAGTTAATAGACGTATATATCTTGACTTTCAGAAAGCCTATGATACAGTACCACACGAGAGACTCTGTTACAAAGTAAGCCATTATGGAATAAGAGGCAAGTACCTGCAATGGAGCAGCTCCTTTCTTAAGCACAGAACTTTGTATGTTCGAGCAAATGGAACCAGCTCTAATTAGTACCCAGTCATCAGCGGAGTAACACAAGGATCTGTATTTTTTATAATGTACCTTTCTGATCTTTTAAAGATTATACAAACCGAAGTAGTAAAATCCTTTGCTATGACAAAAAACTATATCGAAATCATTTAAAACGACTGCATCAACTAAAGGAAGACATGAGTAGGTACTGCAGATAAATGAAAAATCACATTAGCTAAAACCGAGGCTAAAACTGATGTTGAAATTGAATGTTTAAAAATCAAAGTAAGCTGCAGGTACATGATTTATTCCTACGAGAGCCAATAAGTAGGTAATGAGCTTATAAAAGACTCAAAGACCACTGCAAATGCATTTGCAAACCAATTTCATTCTGTCTACACCAGAGATAACCTTACAAACATGCCAACACTGCTCATTGGAGACTATATGAACAATAATCATCTGACTGACATTAACATAAAAACCTATTCAAGTCCAAGCCCAGATGGAATACCAACTATATTTTTGAAAAAATGTGCAACATCTCCAGCACCACTATTAGCCCAATTATACCAAGATTCAATAGACAATGGAACCATACCAGAGATCTGGAAAAAAGCTTTATTGATACCTATTTACAAAAGTGGTGACAAAAGCGACCCACCCAATTATAGACCCATCAGCCTGACCGCCCTGACCTGTATCTACAGTTTCCAAAGTACTCAAAAAAAATCCTTGTAGAAGAAACAGCATTCTTCTTCTTAGAAAATGATCTCATACCTCCTATACATAGCATGGTTTTATGCCAAAAAGGTCTAATACAACAAATCTTCTCAGCTGGTTTAGACGATTGGTCTACAAATCTAGACGAAGGCAAGCCAAAACACGTGATATATTCCGACTTTCAGAAAGCTTTCAATACCGTACCACACGAGAGACTGATGTTACAAACTAAGCCATTATGGAAAAAGAGGCAAGTACCTGCAATTGAGAAGCTCCTTTCTTAAGCACAGAACTTTTTATGTTCAAGCAAATGGAACCAGCTCTAGTTGGTACCCAGTCGTCAGCGGAGTAACACAAGGATCTGTATTTTTTATAGTGTACATTTCTGATCTTTCAAAGATTATATAAACCAAAGTAAAATCCTTTGCTATGACAAAAAACTATATGGAAATTATTTAACACAACTGCGTCAACTAAAGAAAGACATGAGTACCTACTATAGAGAAACAATCACATGGCAGCTAACACTGAAAGAAAACAAGTGTACAGTTTTCCACATAGGACGTAATAACCCCAGACCTAACTACCAAATAAATAGCGTCAAATTCGAAAAAGTCTCAGAACCAAAAGACCTAGGAGGAGTCTATGTCACCGATGATCTGAAATGGGAAACCCATATATCGCACACAGTAAAAAAGGCCAATCAACTATAATTTACCTTATAAGACAAGCATTTGAAAATCAAACTGTGAAAATGATAACAAAACTGTATATCACTTACCTACATTACACCAAAACTAGAATATGGCCACACAGTTTGGTCTCCTTACTACATCAGAGACATGGATCTCCTAGAAAGTCTTCAGAGAAAAATAACCAAAATTCCAATAAAACTAAAAAATCTGCCCTACGAAACAAAACAACAAAAATTTCAGTGGACAACACTTGAGGAAAGAAGGAAAAGAGGAGACCTTATTGAAACATACAAGATGGCTACGACTCCTACAGACCTTAAACTAGAAAGTGTTTCAAAAAAATCAAAACTTAACCCTCAGAGGACACCACCAAAAACTTTAAAAGGAAAGAACCCTTCTTCTTGGAAGAGAAAACTTCTTAACTAATTGTGTAGTCTATAAATGAAATTCACTAAACCTAGAAACAACAAATGCACCAAACAAAAACATTTTTGAAAATATACTATATACCAAAATCTTTGTACCGTAAACAACACATTAGTGCATTATTTTTAAAGAAATACCTGCCTTAAGCTCTTAAACAAAAAACTACAAGTGAAAAATCAAAAGTGGTGGACTCATCGGTCTTAAGGCCGCTTTCCATTGCCAAAACCATATAATAATAACATAAAAATAATAAAAGGTACACTCTTGCAATTTTATGTTTCATAATCAGCAAAAGTGAAATGGAATTGAAAAATCTGATTCAAAAAGTTAAATCTTACTTTGAAATGACAGTGGAAGGAAATCCTGATACATTTGTAGGAATCATCCAGGAAAAATTATTATAAATCAAAAAAATTATGAACAATACTAATGGATATCTCAAGAAAATGATCTCAAAAACAAACCAATGAGAATAAGAAACCGAGTAAGAAACAAATTAAGCAAAGTATCCTTAGAGAAGCAGTTGGCAGTTCACTCTATATGACAAATATGTTGACTAGACATGTCTTATTCAGTAAATTATTACAGCGGGAAAATTTAAAAATGATCAGATCATGAAATAGGTAGACTAGGTAGTGAATAGTGAATGTGAAAAGAATATCTCCATACTTAGTGGCAAAAAAAAGAAGAAGGAATAACGTACAACCATAGGTTGCATGTGATGCAGATTTTGCAGGAGACAGTTAAAGTCGAAAAAGTATTACAAGATATATAATATTTTTTTAGGGCTCAAGAAAGCAGTACGTGTCAAGGAACTTCTGTTTCTGAAAACTATGACAGAATAAGAGCTTTCTGGAACAAAAATTGATTTGTTTGAGGATAATCAGAGTGCAATAACATAAAAATTATCAGAAATCATGCCCAAAAACAATGTTAATTTTACCCATTTTTGTCAAAGGCGCATTTTGAATACCTGCCTAACAAAAGAAAGTTCAATGAAATCGTTGAAGAAATGAAAGCTTAGCAATGTAGGCATCGTAACGTCGGCAATTTAAATTTAAAAAAAAGGGTTTTATTCCATATATTATCCCTTGCGGCTAGTTCAATCGTTTTTTTGGTCCTCGTTAGTTAACAAAAATCTTAAATTGTGCCACTCAATTCATATTAACACAACCTGAGGTTTTTATTTTAACTAACAAGGACTTAAACAAACGATTATTGTAGCCGCACTTAATCTTACATAAAAATACTTTTTAACCACCACTGGTAAGAAACACAGTAATATTGATTATCAAGCAGAGTGTAGGAGAAACGGTTTTTTCTTTTCTATCTCCATACAACAAACAAAGTAAGAGAACACCAGATAAAGTACATACCTTACACACGTTTTCAACACGCATGTTGTTTTAATCTCATAAATAAAAATTAGATTACTTTGAAATAAATATAAAATTCTTGAATATTATAATAACAGATTACTTACCTTGCGTAACAGTAGCCATTTTTGGTATAAATAAATCACTTTAAATCAGAAATTAACTGACAATCAACTGGTTCAAATTGCTCGAATAAGGTTAGGTACTGTCGCGTTGAATTATTTGGACTGGAAAACCGTTCAGCCTCAATTAGTTTTTAATAACCTTCGCATGCGCGGACTCGTCGAGTAATTTTTTTTATTAACAAATAAGATCTTCTTTGAACAACAATTTCCCAATTTAATGAATTAATTAGTGATAACGCGTTGAAAATATTTTTTGTTGTTGCTATCAATATGATAATATGTTGCTTTTAAAAACTTACTTACTAATTACGTTGTTGTGTCCTTTGATTTGGAATTTTAAAAATAAATTTAAGAACATATTTTTGAGACATCCCATTATGAATGGCATATTGATGAATATTGAACAATAATAATGCCTTATTAACTTGAATAATCAATAATGAAATCTTTAAATTGGGTGAAGATAAAAAAATTAAAATTCTAAAAAGAGGAGAGGAACGCAGTTCATTAGAGGGGTGCACCCCAAGTACGTATTGCCGGAATTATACAGGGTGTCATTGATATTCTTGCCTTACATCAGCAGGGCCGTGCAAAGCATTCGTGGGCCCCAGTACAGGCATTACGATTCTTGCGCCTGGGGTATAATTTTTTTTACGTATTTTTGAAGTGAAACCCAACCTCTTTGCTTTACGAAAATTCCGATCGGGAGTATGAATAGTTGAGTAAGTTCTTTCTGAAATGTCAAATAAAAAAGGTATAGCGGGTGCCATTCATAACCCTGCACCATAGATCTAAGAACATTTTTGGCGGGCCGGGTCCCGACGGAGCCGTTGAGGAATTATCTATTAAGTTTTTGTGAGGCAAGAGATATGACGTAGTGGTCCTGAGACTTGTCCACAAAGATCACAAAATCTCAATGTCCTAGATTTCTACACCACTCCAAAGCTTTGGTCCACTCAGTGCCAATAACTAACAACAACTGCAATCCAATTTTCGTATTTTTCATGTAATTTGATGGCGTCACCATCAATTTCTATGTTTTTAGAAGAAAGAGGCAAAATATTTATTCAGGTAAACTTTCTCAGAAATCATGGCTCCAATAGCAGTATTGCCTCTATCGTCCGACGATAATGTGAAACCATATTTTTTAGATTTCTGCTGGTTTTCGATTTGGCTCATGAAAATATCAACAATGGGTCACCCTGCTTACCAGAAAAAAATCTTCGAATTCTTGAGTTTAAATTCTTTAGTAAAGAAATTAGTGGCAAATACTCCACTATAGATTCTTTTTTGCTCGGTTAAGATGATTCACCCAATGGTTTACCATGCTATCTTGAAAGACATCAAAATAAACTTCTCATTTACTACGGAGGTCACTTTTTTCGACCAATTGAATAAATCTGATTCGTGAAATTTATCTTCCGATGCGCACCCTTATAATACAAGATACACTCATTTATTAAGTATACAAATATATTTTTTTATAAAAATGCTTTAAAATAAAATTGAGAAATATAATTACCTATATCGATCGATATGTTCAGCTTGAGAAATTCCATGTCAGCATAGACTGCATGATCTTTCTATTTTGTCTATCAGATATAGCACAGCATCCAATATGGATATTCAGTATTTAGTTGTTCCAAAAAAATTATCCAATGGATAAAGGAGCCATAGATAATCAAAATTTGATTTATTACCGGCTCTTGATTCTTTGGAAAAACTTCCTAGAGCCAATCAAGAGCCGGTAATAGTTAAAATTTGAACATTTATCAACTCTGGATTCACAAGAGAATTTTTCTAAGGGCCATTCAAAGCTCAAGAGCCGATAATAATCAAAATTTCGACTGATCATTAGCAGCTCTTTAGTTGATTTCAATCAAAATTTCTTCTTCCGCAGCTTCTAATTGGCTCTAGAAAAATTATCCAATGGTTCAAGAGCCACAGATAATCAAAATTTGAACTATTACCGGCTCTTGATTCTTCTGAAAACCTTCCTAAAGCCAATCAGGCGCCGGTAATAGTCAAAATTTGAACTTTCATCAACTCTGAATTCGCAAGAGAATTTTTCTAAGGGCATTCAAAGCTCAAGAGCGGATAATAATCAAAATTTCGAATGATCATTATCAGCTCTTAAGTTGATATCGATCAAAATTTCTTCTTCCGCAGCTTCTAATTGGCTGTAGAAGAATTATCCAAAGGATCAAGAGCCACAGATAATCAAAATTGAACTATCACCAGCTCTTGATTTTTCGTAAAACCTTCCTAGAGCCAATCAAGAGCCGGTAATAGTCAAAATTTGAACTTTTATCATGGCGGTCCAAATTTTTTTGGAGTACCACGCCCAAATTTGCACCCGAAAGTCGTTTAAAAAACGTGCCTCGGGCAAAAATGTATCCCGGTGACGTCAAAATAGTTATACAGGGTGTCCTAGTGCGATATGGGACGATATCTTCTTACAGGGTGATGCAAGAAAAAAAAAAAAAAAAGTTGTTTGATACTCTAAGGTGCATTAGTTTAAACTATTTTTGAATAAACAGGGTGCTCCCTAAATGGGGTATGCGACAGAACTTTGTTATTTTAAATGGAACACACTGTATTTTAGTACATGGATCGTTCTAAAAATCTTACATACTTTTTGTCAGGAATTACCTATACCAAAACCGTTTATGGAATATTTAATTTTTTTTTTTTTTTTTTGAAAAAATCGCAGTTTGTATGTGTCAACAAAAACTAACATATATATTTCATTCATTGGAGATCCTATAAACTAAAGACCGTATTACATCTGTGTATTTGTCCGTGAATTTCTTCATGTAGTTCAGGGTGAAAACCGAAAAACTTCGAATAGTCGGAGAGCCAGCGCCAAAAAAGTGCAAGAGTTTTAAGAAAGCTGAAAATTTAATATAAACTTGTATTTGTGATGTATATAACTATACTCCAGTCAGCAAGTGAGGTAGCGGGTCAAGCCACGCCCACGCAGCTTCGAACGTGTCAAAAATTATTCGCGATAGAAGAGTTTCATGAAAGCTGAAAATCTGTCAATCCATAGTTTATTTAATGAAAAACATGACGAACATGGTCAGATAGCATTATGATGGGACAACAAGAGTCAGCATGGCTATATTCCGGTCGTATAATAGAGGTAACTGAAACTGTTTCATGATGGTTCAAATTTAGTATGTTATTATTTAATTAAATACTAGAATCGAAAATAACAGTCATACTTTAATTTGTTGGAACTTAACCAGTCAGCAATCAATTCAATTTTCAATATTGTATACACACAGGGTCCGCAGTTGAGCGCGCGTCGGTCTATAAGTGCTAAACTAATAAGGTTATGAATTTCGTTCATGTCAACCTATACTGGTCGTGAGACTCTATTTTAGGAAAATATTTTTGAGTATACAGGAAGGCTCAATTAGGCGTGACGATATGAAAGTCAGTAATTTTTAATCAGACACCATGTATATGATTACATATTTGGATTCTACGTGGAATTTTGAGCAGGTTTTATGTGATATACCCTTTACCTAAGTTAAACTGTTTTGGAAATATTGACAGTTAAAAATTTACTTTTTCTGCAACTTTGCCAGGCTGTAAAACTTTAACGGTTAATTGAAAGGAAAACCGATCTTGCCTACATTTTTATCTTAGATTTCCATAAATTGTCATTCGACATCAACTTTGAATTTAGCCGGAGATTAAATTAAATTGCAATTTTCAATCATGGATTAAATTCAAAGTTGGTGTCAAATGATAGTTTCTGAAAATCAAAGATGAGAATGTAAGATCGGTTTTCCTCTAAAATTAACCGTTTAGGTTTTATAGCTTGTTAAAGTTGCAAAAAAGTCAATTTTCAACTTTCAATATTTCCAAAATAGTTGAATTTAGGTATAGGGTATATCATATAAATTCTGCTCAGAAATTACGGAGAATCCAAATATGCAATCACATACAGGGTATCTCGTTGAAAAATAACGACTTTCATATCGTCACGCCTAATTGAGCCACCCTGTATACTCAAAAATATTTTCCTAAAATAGAGTCTCCCGACCAGTATAGGTTGACTTATGAACGAAATTCCTGACCTTATTAGTTCAGGACTTATAGACCGACGCGCGCTTAGCTGCGGACCCTGTATGTATACAATATTGAAAATTGAATTGATTGCTGACTGGTTAAGTTCCAACAAATTAAAGTCTGACTGTTATTTTCGATTATAGTATTTGATTAAATAATAACATACTAAATTTGAACCATCATGAAACAGTTTCAGTTACCCCTATACGACCGGAATGCATGTTTTAATTCCGTCATCTATTTCGGCACCATATCAGAAATAACACGTTCTGATTGGCTGCGCGGTGTTCTTCGACGCGGTGCCGAGATGGGGGTCGGAAATAACTGCAGAGTGCCGAAACAGCGGACAGAATTAAAACAAAGCCAAAGGCAAATTTTCTTGAAACTGGGAATCAAAATATTCTTAGATTTTTCTTATTCAATTATTAAGGTAGTACCTACATGGCACAAAAAATATCAGGATGTAGCAAATTTTATTGAAACAGGAAATTTAAACATGCTTAGATTTTTTTTATTCAGTTATTAGAGTAGTACCTGGCACAAAAGATATTAGGATATAGAAAACGATAGTGAAAAATTAATGGCCGATGGCGTTTGGGACATTGTGGTCAACATTTAACTGTAAATTTCGAGGTCTTTTGATTCTTCTTCGTTTTAATGACTCTTTCGAAGGCCGGCCACCTCCAAACGTTTTGTTTCTTGAATTAAAGTTTTTCTTCGGCTTATTGTCGTAGGTTGTAGGTACTCTAATTTCTAATTGCAGCCCTAGATGTATGTTTTCTGGGTAAATAACCACCAGCAGTAGCTAGGTAAGAATCCCAAGCCGTGTGAGTCAAAATTTTCTTTAAGCGTTGCATGTTACATGCAGAGATTTATTATCTTTGAAGAAGTGCCATGAGTATTATGGTGACTCTGTAATAAAATCATACATGCTGTGAATTCTATTTTGTATGCAATGCAAGCGACCAATCCTCTCGTCTTTTCCAGTAATTAGATATATGTATATGTTTTCCACTTTGGATAACGTGAAACAAACACATTGAATTCTTGAACACCAGTATCTTCTATACAAAGGCAATAAGCTTCAAAGGTATCGAGGTGCAGGTATTTTCTTTAGATCGGGCATAAATGAAACCCGAATACAGCTCCTTAAACTGACAAATATTTTTGTCACTGTACTAATAGAGGCCATCGAATTTGATGCACCCTTTTTAAAACAATTATTATTTCAATCATAATAATAATACCATATCTAACCACAAACCCATTTGACCCTATGCACTTTTTAACGTTCCAGTTTGTTTTGTTCAATACACTGTATTCTTGTATCCATTGGCGCAAATCTTCTTCACTTTTTATGTTGCTTCGAATACATTTTTCATGAATACCTAGTCACGTTACGAAACAAGGTAGGTAAAAACTCTTCCATTTTTGCGGTAAAAATAATAAATATCTTATAATAATAATGCAATATCGCCTGGCGTCTGCACTAGAAATGATGCCCAAGATGTAACAAGAAATAGTTAATTCTGTCATGCGATCTCGGCACTCTGCAGTTATTTCCGACCCCCATCGCGGCACCGCGTCGAAGAACA